ACGACAAAGGGTGGTAAGCGCGGCTTCTTAGGCATCGTAGCTCACTTTGCTACAGTAGATGGAGACGTCGTTGACTTGCCTATCAACCTACCGCAGCTTATAGGCGCCCACACCGGTGAGCGACTTGCTGAAGTTGTTACCTTAACGCTTACGAATTACGGTATCACGCCAGCAAAGCTTGGCTACTTTGTGCTCGATAACGCTAGCAATAATGACACCGCGTCGCTGCGCTTGCTCGTAGTTTTGACTTTATCCCATCTCACCGGCGCCTACGCTGCGGCCCCCATACTCTCAACCTTGTAGGCCAGATGATTATCTCTGGCAGGGACAAAGGCGCGTACGATAACGCTAGCGGTAACCTAGATGACGAGGAGAAGTTTCTGCGGGAGTGGCGTAAGGATGGGCCGCTCGGTACACTGATCGCTATCATCAATTACATCAAAACGCCGCAGCAGTACGGTCTGTTTAGTAACTTCCAAAAGCTCGCTCACGCTGAGCTACCTACAGATCAGCGTCGAATACTAGAGCCTGTAAAGCCAGTAGTTACCCGCTGGAACTCGTTCTATTGCGCCTTTGAGCGAGCCGCTCACCTCCAAGCTGCCTATAACTCCTACGCTAACTATCATATCAAGTCGATATCACAAGCCGACGCGATCGCCCTTGGCCGGAACAACAAGCTACCAGATGCGCCGGCATGGATGAGATCAACTGGACTCACCACAGCCGACTGGGCGGTAATTACCGAGTATATCGACCTACTGCGACCTCTCAAGTACGCTTCCGAGCGCCTTGAAGGCCGCGGCAAGTCAGGCAAGTTTGGAGCTATATACGAGGTCATCCCAGTATTCGAATTCTTACTTCGCGAGCTTGAGACCCGCTGCAACTAGTACGAGCATGTCGATTACAATGCCCACGCTGAAGCTCTTGAAGACCACCTTGCGATTAACCTCTGAGCCGCGTGGCGTAAGGCCAATGAGTATTACTCTAAGCTTGATGACTCGCCCGCCTACTACGCGGCTGTCTGCCTCCATCCATACTATAAGCACTACTGCAACAACAGCTGGGCTGATAACGCTAGGTGGCTTGATATCAATAATGCTGCTTTTAGGCAGCTTTGGGCTCAGTACAAGCCAACAGCTCCGCCGATCTCTCGCAATCAGCCGCCTACCTCAGGCGATATCGACGACGCTATTGACGCGCTCGTGAACCACGACAAGGGCAACAGCGAGCTCCACCTAGACGAATACGAACAATGGCGCAAGTACGAACCAAAGTGGACGAAGGAGCAGCACAACAGCTGCAACGTTATACGATACTGGACAGATCTTGCTCCTAAATACCCCACCTTAGCCGCCTCGCGATCGATATATTGACTATACCAGCCTCTAGTTGTGAGTGCGAGCGCTTGTTTAGCGAGCTGGGTGATCTCCTCGAGCCTCGTCGCCGCAAGATTGGAGCGCAGCTGCTTGCAGCACTTCAACTAGTACGATCGTGGGCGCGGCGAGGCTTCACGATACCAGAGGAGGCAGCCGCAGCGTATACCGACGAAGAAATGGCGAGCAAATACAGGGTGGACGATTGGGACGAGCCGCCGCAGTAGACACAGCAAACATATGTCCTTTTAGGCAACCTAATCTACCAATCCTCAATCCCTCAATCAATCCCCAATCAATCCGCTCTAAACCCTCCCCTCAAGCAAGCCAATCAATCCTAAGCCTCGCGTCGACCAAGCCAAGCCAAGCCAGAGGCTACAGATCGGCACGAATTGATTGTTGACAACTGTGGTACCGGGACCGGAAACCAAGCATCTGAATTCTCAAAACAAATCTGTCTGTAGTCTCATCCGAAGCCGCTCCAAGCTGCATTGGGTCTCTGTTACTTTTGTAATCGTTACCATTATACAGTGGTGTATGTCACTCATCGTGGTCGCGCTCCATTTCCGATACTCTTGGATCGACAAAAAGAATCATCCAACGTACGTCGAGGCACCTAATGCGATCAGCAACCCCACCTCAATCGGCGATATGCCACAATCTTGTTTGAACTGGCTCCAGCAGTCACCTGATCTTGTAGCCTCTGAGCTTCTCGACATGAATTTCGTCCAAGCTTCGTTTTGCTTGATCAATGCTTTCCAGTTTGTTGCATGTACGGTGGGTGTGTTGGTCAGTTCGCGCAGCCGCTACCGTGTACTCGAGAAGCTCAAGATTAGTGCTTGGGCATCATTACTCTCTCTTGGTCTTCCGGCTTTGGTAACTGGGTTTTGGATCGTTGGAAAAGTTGTGTTTGGAAATCAAGATACATGGATTACCTACACACATAACTTGACTGCTACAGGAGGATGCACCTTCGCTGCTGTAACTATGGACAGAGAATGGGGATATTGGGATGTGCAGTACAATCTCCCATTCAGAGTTAGTATGAGCGCGTTAGGAGTTGCCTAAGTCTAGTATTCTGAACAGAATAATAGAACCATAAAATCATTGATACGAAAGTCGAGAGTGGACGCATTTTGAGCCACTGTATGCTAGAATCTTTCCTTAGTGAAGCTGAGAGTATGTCACGTACTTAGTAGCGTTCAAGTTCGGGTGGTCGCTATTTAGAGCCGATCTGCTAGCTTGACCAGCTGACAGAAGCTTCTTGACATGATAACACTTAAACGCTTGACTTTCCTTGCCCTTACTCGTGTGGATAGGCACCACGCGCTGTCTACGACCTACTTGAGTGTTGTTATCGATCAACCCCTATTCCTCCAGCACTCTCTCGTATGATGGCTTGTATTGCAGATCAGCCACGCTATGTAGTGATTCCGCCGCTGGCCGGGAAGGAAGCACAGCCAAAGACCTAGCTCGGAAAGTTTGTCCGTACTATGAACGAACCGACCGTGAAATAGGCCCCTGACAATGCGAATACGGAAAGGTTAATCGAAAAGTATATTCTCGATCCGGTAGACGACACAGACGCGAAAATCATAACGAACAGCGTCAAGGACGAGAGCCTCAAGGTGAAACTCACGGATCTCTTCTACTTTGACAGAATCTCGCATAAGTGAAAGCCTGAATAACTGGAGAGTCCCCATGTGGCCACCTACGGCCTTCGACAGCACGATAGCGAATTCAATGCGTTCATGGAAGATAAAGGCTTCGAATCGGAGACCATCCAGCTTCTGCGCGCGTCTGGGAGGAAAATTTACATGATTGTTGCAGTAAAGAAGTGTATAACGGAAGCATTGCTTCTATCGTCCACAGTTGTCAACAATCAGTAGATCGGCATACTTGATTCCTATCTAGGTATAACTCGATCCTGATTGGGAAAGTGCTAACCTATATAGGAATCAAATATGCCGATCTACTTGATTGTTGACAACTGTGCTATCGTCGGGTCAAGCTCTACCACCGATTTAACCGCGACTGTTCCAGTAGCCAAAGCAGTATCGGCAGGTCTCGGAAGCCCGGTAACAATCCTACGAAGTCAAACCGATCTTGTTATGAAACAACGCAAAGATGAGTCTCACAATATTTACCTATGTCACAAGTTCGCAGGGGCGAGAATCTTTGCCTTCGAGTACAAGAAAGTGACCTTCGTCAAGTCACTGATTCGTCGCTTGTCCCAGCCTCCAACCCGTTTACCGGACCCACCAGTTTACGACTAGTAAACTCAAATATTCGGTTGTGGAAGACAGGGATGTCAACAATCAAGCCAATCTGGATTGATTGTTGACATCTCTGGTGGAAGAAAAGAGACTACTCCTGGCATGGATCATGACACAGTTGTAGAAGATATTCAGATTGAAAAAACTGGCCTAGTTACGTTGCCTGTCAAGCTAACGGACATCGAGTAGGCTGTAGGTTGGCGAACGAATTCATTTGTGGATAAGGCTGGCTCGGGGATTCTAGTGTATAAGAAGTAATATGGAAGCGAACAAACAGAATCTATTGCAACGTGGTTATCTTTTCAGACGAACTGTGTCGCTATAACCCATCTCTGTACACTTGCAAAAGTACAACTTAGTTCTATACCGATCCCTCAAGGGTGCTAGAATAAAATTAGAGTAAGGTTTTTACCTGATAGCCTTTCTTTAGCTATAGAGTTACCTTATCCCTAAGTGCGGAACTAAAATGTCTACGCTTTCTTAATACTTTTTGGATTTGGGTAATGGTGGGGAAGCAAGCAACAATGTACCCAGAGCTACGCGAAATGATCACCGAGATCTGCTCCGCGTCTGTCGCTAGGACTATAGTGAGACTTGCATCTTGCCATGATCACTTGTTACCTTCGAATATGCCCAAGCAACACACTTCCTCCAATCGCTCGTCAAATCCCCAATCGAGTGTCGCAGGGCCATAACGTCTATCGCTCTGGGCAAGCGCAATAACGGCCTGGAACTCCCCCCTCATTCGGAGTTGCAGAAGCCATTCTGGCTCGAGAGAGCAGTATTCAGCTTACAAGACTTTCCTGCGCTTCGCAAAGTACAATGAAAGGTACGATTATCTTTCCGGGTTATGAGTGCTTTAAGGAGTTGACTAAGGCCTCGAAACGTGAACATACGAGTAGGGATAACTGATGCGAGTGACATTCGGTCATTGTCTTGTATAGCACTTCTCACACTTAGAGCGGGTCCATAGACTCGAAAAAGAGTCTGATGGTCAAGAAGAAAACATCGGAACCGAATCCAGAAGCCGTCGCGGCGCAAACACGAACTAAAGGACTCATATAAGAGGCCGTTCTATAGGCTTCAAGCGCTAGAGATAATACCTCGAAGACAGTGGCAAAGGTATTCTGGAGAGTCTATAGCCACTCAGACTTCAGTCTATCCTTTCATGTGTATGTCATTCATGATTCCAGGTAACATAATTTGCAAAGTGCTGTATCACCGCCTATTCACCAAGCTTGTAAGCTGTTACGTACCAGAGACATACAAACTCATTATCTTCAGATCGAGCACAGAAATGAACTTGGTAATGTATCTCAGTATTAAATCTAACGTACTAAGTCATGCGTAACTACGCGATAGGTGCGTAGAAGCTGAACTTGCCCTTAGGATCATACTTCTGCTTAAGCGCCTTGAGCTTATCTTGCCTCCAGCTCTCGTAACCATACCAGCTCTGTGGTCCCTCGTTACCATAAGCATAGTTTACATAAGTATGTAGCTCCTCAGACCCTGTACCCTCACGAATAATGTCACGCAGTTGAGTGCCGAGCTTCTTGACCGCATCATCTTGTACTTGGCCAGTGGAGTTATAGATAACGAGCGGCGCCGCGAGAATGTGATCGTTGCGGAAGCCAAATGCGGTAGCATCGTTGGTGCGGTCACGGACGCCACCGCTGGAATAATCCTCAAACATGAAGATAGAGTTGTAGTATGGGTTATCGGAACCAGAGATGGCTGAGGCGTAGAGATCGTAGGCCGTTCGCTGCGAGGTGATGTTGTAGGTAGATGTGTAGATGGGGAAGCGAGGGTTGTTGAAGCCAAAGTCCTGGCAGGGCGGTGAATCAAGGGCGATACCAGTCCAGCTTGCAAGATCTTTGTAGGTACCGGACTGAGGTGTGGTGGCGAGAGGACCGATGTCGTGGAAGGGGGTGGTGTACTTGGCATCAACGGCGGTAACACCCTCTTGAATGATGTACATGATGATCACAGGCTGCTTGTATGTTAGCAAATTGAACCACATCTAGACTTGGGAACCATCCTACCCTCTTAGCATCGAGTGTTGCATCATTCAACCAGTAAGACCAGTTGATGATGTCCGCGGCCTGCTTTCCATCTTGCAGAATGTACTTGTTGGCAGCATCGTAGACCTCCTCGACTTTGTCTCCGCTGAAAACGATGGTCTCAATTGCCCAATTGGTGTGTTCAATGTCGTAAACCTTGGTGGTGACAGATGTGACAATACCAAAGTTGTGGCCAGCACCCTGCATACCCCACCACAAGTCTGAGTTACTATCGATCGTCTTTAAACTTCCGTCCGCGAGAACCACATTCATGGACTGAAGCTGATCAGTTACCAGGCCATGGTGACCCTGAAGCCACCCGTGACCGCCGCCAAGGGCTGGTCCCAAGTAGCTAACGCATTCGCAAGTTCCAGTGACTAACTATTGTCAGAACACGCCAAAGGCCTTAAGAATGTACGTAGAGAACTCACCCGTCTGCTTTCCGGCAGCCCAAAGAGCATCCGTCACCTTCTTTGAGTTGACGCCACCACCCAAGGTCACCGACTTTCCGTCCTTGGCGATTGAGATGGAGTTCAATTGAGGCAGATAGATCTCAATACCATAGTCCATCTTTCCCAGGGTCGTGAGAGTTCCATGATGGCCGTTGTAGGTAAGGAAAGGAATGTTATTGTCATTCGCAAACTTGACCTGCAGCAAGTATTGTTAGTACCGCTGGTGGCTTGCTTTCGGATCGACACTTCAGTGGAAACACTTACGATCTTTTGAACATCCTTCTCAGTGCCTGGGGCAACTACGATATTCGGTGTGGGAGCCTCTAAGTTTGACCAACGGGTTGTGTAGGTAGCGAACTCTTTGGTGCCCGGGAGGTAGATCTTGGCGTTGGCAGAGAGCTGTGGCGCAAGAGTCTTCACGTCGACACCTGCTGCAGGGGTTCTAGGAAAGATATCAAACGGCGAAGTGGGACCTCCTGAGACGGTTGGCACGACAGAAGTAAAGACCCAACCTGCGACAGCTAATGGTTTCAGGACGCTAGAAAACATGATGCCGGTAGAAGGGCGTCAAGAAGGATGTGAAAGACGAATGAAAATTAACAATATGCTTGAGTCTGGCTTCAAGCAATCTCAAATAAAAAGGAACATCTAATTGAGCTAAGAGCACCATCCTGAATGAGGAAGACTTCCGGATTAATTTGTAGCGGGCCCTATTGTCGGGGTCTAGATGGCGTGAAGCATACATGGGCAAATCGTTTTTTGGAAAACAGGTTAAGCAGAAGTTAGCGTACCAAAGCCGTTTTCAGCCAATCAAACAGAGGCTGTCAGTGACAAGATTTTCTCCGATTGGTAAAAACAGAGTTCGGTACACTAACGGCTGCTTAACCTGTTTTCCAAAAAACGATTTGCCCATGTATGGCGTGAAGACGGGACAGGGTAGATCGAAGGATGGAGTCGAGGTTACAATTGGTGCGAACCTGATCCTACGCGTACCAAGGCAACACAACCGCCCCTGCCCGTACCATTATTCGCCTCGACTCGTGTGCCTGCATGCTGTCGAGTGGACTTGGTGGGGCACGGTTCCGTGAGTAATTTGAAGATAGTCTCCATGGACTACCGGCATTGCCGCCATTGGTTCGATATTCGTACAAGATCCCGCGAGCGGCATTGACAACCGTCTAACTGCTGCTAACCCCGCGCTAGTGCCTGTGTGGCGCTTATGCTCTGCCACTTTTTTCATTGCATCGAGAACTTTAAATCCTGCGTGGTTTATAGTGATTGCTGCGCGCCTGATCGTTCCAGAGACTTGGTTCTCATTGCATAGCAGATCAAGGAAGATTGACAAATACCCGGTAGATCTTTCAGTTCAAAATGGAATGCATGCGCTTACGCGCATGAACATGATCGTGGTGCGGAGACCCGATCTCAGGATTACAGGTTTCAAAGCACAACGCCTAGTGGCAAGGACAGACCCACGAACATGATCGAGGGTTTATTGAAAACTTTGATCCCCTCGGCCATGCGGCCTCGAATTTTGCGGCCTTTTCCCACTAGAAGCTGAAGAAGCTAATGTGACTAGGCTGGCGAAAAACCCCTGTTTTGGGTCTGACGTAAGCAGAACACCAAAACCTTTACAGCCGCGCATGAAAGCAAGTAGTTGAGATATCTAGCTAGACATTTTCCTGGAGATAGATATTAGCTATAGGTATAGTATGTTGAGTTTTTAAAAGATTTAAATAAGAGCTCGCTTTGATGCGTAGCTACGAAGGTTTTGGTGCTCTGCTTACGTCAGACCCAAAACAGGGGCTTTTCGCCAGCCTAAATGTGACTACTAGTCACCCGAGACGCTTGTCATCGGACCTCCCCGTTCATGTCCTTGTCGTGTACATTTCGAGATACAGGATATATATTCGATTTTGTTATCCTGCTTTTGTATAGATTTCGATCGACGTAAAGATCGACAGCAGTACTGTTGCCAAGTGATCCTCAAGGACCGTAAGTTTAGCCATGGCTACTGTGGAACTGTGGACCCTTTATGCATTTGGTGTCTCGTTCACATTCCTGCGAACGTACGCCAGAATCTCCGCCGTAGGCTTTCGCGAACTAAAATTGGACGACTATCTAATATGGGTTGCTATTGTAAGTACCAGGAATCACATTTGATCATCTAACCTTTTTTTACTAACGATCCGTTCACCAGCTCATCTACACAGCTCAATGCAGCCTCGGGTACAACCTAGGGGTAGTTGCTCACGGTCTCGCGAACAATGGCATGACGCCGGATGAGCGTAGTGCGCTTCCGCAAGATGATCCCGAATACATTATGAGGTATATACAAAGCCAGTTCATCGTACAAGCGATTCAAAAAACGTTGATCTTTAGTGTAAATCACTGCATTCCTCGCATATGTGGCTAACAAGGCTCCAGGGTTATCGGGTCTAAGATCCAAGTAGCTGGTTGGACGACAGCGGCATGCCTACTTTGGTCGCTCAAGCTATGTGTAGCATTCTTCTACCTTCGTTTAACTGTACGTGCATATATCGCATTAAATCTAGGAGTTCTAACTAATATGCGACGACACACAGAGCGGCCTGCAGAAATACACCACTCGCATTTACATCGCTCTCGGCTTGATCATCACTACGTTTATCGTCATCATCTTCACAATCTACCTTTCCTGCCGGCCTTTCAATCACTACTGGCAGATCAGTCCTGATCCTGGGAACGCATGCCAAGCAGCGGTATCGAAGCCGATTATTTGGATGACATTCGTCTTCAATGTGTCTACCGATGTATATCTGCTCTTGATACCGATTCCTATGTTATGGAAGTCGAGCCTAAAGAAGTACAAGAAGATTGCTGCTACGCTTGTGCTTAGTGCTGGCATATTGGTCATTGTGTGTGCGACGCTCAAAAGCATTTATGTCATTGTGGTAAGACGCTATCTCCTGACTACCGGGGAAAATCAAGACTGATCGATCTCTAGGATCCCGTCCATGGCGGTGAGCTTGCAGCCTCATGGGGTACTCGCGAAACGTTCGTCGCGATCGTTACTACCAACCTACCCATGATCTTCCCCCTGCTCAAGAACTGGCTTACACCCTTCCTACCTAGTACAATCGGCTCAAGCAACGCCGAACCATACAAGCCCTCAGGCAGTGGCTTTGTGACCATCGGGGGCGGCGCATCCAAGCAAAGCCGATCGGCGCCACACAGTGCGCGTTACCTCTCCACAAGCCTAACGTTCGACAACGAGAGCGAAGAACACATTGTGGAGGGAGGCGACGTAAACCTGCATCGCATGCAGAGCACCGTTGGTCAAAAACATGGAATGCATGTGATTGTTGTATCGAATCAGGTCAGCATTACATCCGAAGACCGTGACATTGCACGGAGCAAGCAGTCCTTCCAGGTCGTGTAGTGTAATATTTTTATGGGACGGATAACGTTCCCTGCAAAAGTCCCAGCCTGTCGCACACTTTGCTCCAAGGGTGGTTCTTTTGAGTCAGCTGTATCGCAACCCTGAATTAGCACATGTCATATGAATGAATCCGCATCGATTATCCGGCCAACCTTCCCGTTCTACATCGCCCGCCCGATTGATCGGTGAAAAACACCATCTCTGCCTACCCCATTGCGCAAACCTCGAGAATATGGCGAGCATCATATCACGGACTCGACAAGACGGATCGCTAATCGCCTCGCCGCTTCTGCAAGTCCCAGCCGAACCAAGCAACACTGTATATCGATACGCGTTAGGTGACCGAGATGTGTACATCAGCAAGAACCTTTAACCCTTGGTCACCCCGCAGATTCAAGTTGTTACTGTAAGCCCAGGGTACCTTGCATGGTCACGTGGATTATCCAGCGACCAATCAGCCCACTACTCTATGTATATAAGCTTAGATCACAGACCTCTCGGTGATTAAGCAGAATACACGCAATCTACTTACAGTTATGAGCCCGGCCTAATCCGCTCTTTCTATTATTGAACCGTCCTACCTATCTACTCTACTGTCTTACCTTACTACAAGCGTCACTACCAGCATGTCGAAAAACACTGTTACCTCAGACATTGTCCTCCAAGGCCAAAGCAACTGGGAACTCTGGATCTTTGTTGTCAAGCGCACTGCTGAAGCAGGAGACGTATGGGAGTATATTGATCCTGACCAGATCCATCTTCCACTCCATAAGCCTGAGAGGCCTGTTCGACCAGCACCTACTGTCAATGCTGATGGATCTCCACCAACTCAGCCTACTCAACAGGCTCTCATGCAGTACAATCAGGATCTCAGCAACTACTACAAGGACATCAAAGAATACAGACGCTTGAAAGATAAGTTGGGACAAGTTGAAGCACACATTACTAAGACAATTCAGCAGGATCTACTCTATCACATCAAAGACAAGCCAACGATCTATGAGCAGATAAAGACGCTTCAAGAACTCTACTCTCCAACGACTGCTGATCAAGAATATCGCGTTCAAAAGGCGTACGAAGCAGCCAAAGTCCTACACGCTCGACGATCGAATATCGAAGACTGGTGCAGTGAGTTCATCACAGCCTACAACCGTGCGAAGCAACTTGATCTACCTGAAGTACATGGCTTCCGAGCACACAAGGATCTCGTACGAGCTGTGAAGCAAGTTGATGCTGCATACGCTGCAAGTGTCTCATTCAACATCTTCAAAGCTGAAGAGACATGGAATTTAAATCGCAACGTGCCTATACCAAACCAGTCGCAGCTGTCTACCATCCTCTGCAAACTTCCTACGCTATCATCGAACGACACACTCAAGGAAGACAAACATTCATGGAGGTGTATTTGGAGCTACTTTGAATGGCCAAGAATCTCCATACAAGAAGAAGAGATCAAGAGGTGATGAGACACCATCAAAGCCCTGTCTATGTGGAGACAATCACTTTTGGGGTCAGTGTCCATACATTGACACAGCTCTCAGAACACGAGGATTTGTTGAAGACCCGGAAAAAGCCAAGAAGATTACGACATTTGAGAAATCAGACACAAGAGGCTTACTGAACAAGATTCGGGAAAGAATCGGCGCCACAAGAAGCATAAAAGCAAGGAAGCTGATAAGCGAGTCGAACCTGATTCGATCGATATCGACGCCGGCGATCAGCCTACAGACCGATCCATACACAACGCATATGCAGTCTTTTCGTCCGCATTCAACAATCAGCTAACATTCCGACACTATCCGCTCCTCCACTCATGGACGCTGGATCCTGCCACTGATGTCCACATCTGCAACAACCCTGCTGAATTCCAGTGGAAGGCCCCAGCAGCTGACGACGACATTGTCCTAGCAGGGGGTTCAGAAATGTTGATTGAAGCATGGGAGAAGTCACAATACCTCTGTTAACACCAATTGGCATCAAGACAACAACGCTGAAACGAGTAGCGCTAATCCCATCTTTCTTCACCAGCCTGGTCTCTCTCTCACGTCTCACGTCATCAGATGTCCACTTTGACTCTGGTCGAAACGTTCTGTACCGCGCAGGAACACCCCAGAAAGAAGTCGCAAAGCTTACTCAATTGGGAGGTCACTGGCTAGTCGTGCATCGCTCTCAGCCTACAGCACTACCCACACAGCATTCAGCCTTTGCAACCAATCAGCGCAGGCCTCAGTACTCAGCCTTGCCACTCAAGCCTCGATTGCTCACAAAGCCACAGCTTCATGTCTTGCTAGGACACGCAGGCAGTGATGCTATCGACCAGCTATCAAGCCACGTCAGAGGCATACTGCCACCTACAGGTTCTGCTCCAGCTACGATCAACTGCGAAGAATGCTTGCAGAACAAGGCACACCAGATTATCTCACGTCGTATTGGACACGAGGTTGGCGCATCTCGTCCTTTCGAAACAGTAGCCATCGACCTCATCCAGCTTGACGTCACTGGCTACAACGGACATCGATACGTTTTCCATGGATTTGACCTATGCACAAAGCTCAACTTTGTGTATACAATCGCAAAACGCGACAAGGCAACGCTGCTCAAAGTCCTTACTCGCCTTGATCGATCTATCAAGCGCGAATTCAATACCACGGTCACATTTATCATCGCTGACGATGAGAAAGGCTATGGACTTACAGACAACTCAGCACGAGCATACTGCAATCAAGAAGGAATCAGACTTCAGATCAGAGCACCGCATACTAAGGAGCAGAATGGATCTGCTGAACGTTCAGGCAAGAGCCTGATCATACGAAGCCGATCTATGAGCGTTACATCAAATCTGCCTCTACCGCTCGCTCCTGAGATATACGTTGCTGCAGCCTATCTACTTAATCGCACACCTACACGAACAATTGGTTGGAAGACTCCGTTTGAAATGGCCTACTCGAAACAGCCTTCAATTGCTCACCTGCGAGTATACGGCTGCCGCGCATACGCACTCCGCCCACAGATACCACGAGGTGACAAACTATCTCCACGCGCACTTATTGGATATCTGGTTGGATACGACTCCTCAAACATCTACCGAGTTTGGCTACCAAATGCAAGGAGCAGAGCACATCAAGGAAAGGTTATTCGGATACGAGATGTGACATTCAAGGAAGACCTCTTCTATCAGCACCAGGACGAATCTGATCCAATCCTGCAAGGCGAGGAGCTTGAGACAACCACTTACACACTTCAAATGCCACCTATACAAGATCTGGAAGACTCTTCAGAAGAAGAGTATAGTACTGCACCAGAACTCGACCAAACGGTATTCAGGTCGCCTCTGGACAATCACTCGAAGCCTCACGATCCGTTCAACAGCGATCCTCTTTTGCCAACACCAGTCACTACACTCTCTCCTAATTCAGATGCTGATTCACTCAATCAAGCCTCATCAGCTACTCTTAGTCGCAGCCCTACACCAGACCTCCAAACTTCTACTCAAACATCAAGGAAGCGTAAGCGAGACAACGCAGTTGACACGAATGATTCAAACGCTGCACGAAACCGCGAGCTAATCGATAGCAACCTACGCGAAACGCATATCCTTCCTGAAGGATCAACACGAGCTCGAAAGCCTTCTCGCAAAAGCAGCAGCTTCTTCGTCAACAAATATTGGTCTGCCTTTGTGGCGGCATCCACTACAGCTTCTAAAACGCGATTTCATCACACAGATCTTCCCTGAACCTCGATTCTACCAGGATGTGATGAAGCTACCAGCCCAACACAAGCAAGGCTTCATAGCAGCTATGCACCGCGAAATATCTGACGTCAAGCGCAAAGGTACCTACAGGATCATCAACTGGAAGGACTTCAACGCTCAAGACCACGAGGTCCTGCCACTGCTCTGGGTATTCAAATACAAGCTTGACAGTGAAGGATATCTCACCAAGTACAAGGCTCGAATCTGCGTACGAGGCGATCTTCAAACCACGGCTGAGGATACGTACGCTGCCACACTAGCTATCCGGATATTTCGAGCTCTGATGGCCATTGCAGCCTACTTCAACATGGAGGTTCGACAGTACGATGCAGTAAACGCCTTCACGAATGCTCAGCTTACTGTACCAGTATACTGCCATCCACCAGAAGGCTTCTCTGACCCTGACCATCTCTGGAAACTGCACGTGCGCTGTATGGCTTGAAAACCTCGCCACTCCTATGGTACAAAGAACTCACAAAGACTCTTAAAGAGCTTGGATTGCAAGAAGTCAAAGATGCACCATGCCTATGGAAGAACGACAAACTGATAGTATTCTTCTACGTTGACGACATTGTCATCCTCGCTAGACCAGCTCACACAGCTGCTCTTAACGACTTTAAACGCAAGCTGCTGCGACGCTACGAGATTCGGTCGCTTGGGGAGCTAGCCACCTTCTGCGGTATACAGACGCATCGCTGCAGGTCAACTGGAACAATGTGGCTATCACAAGCAGCATACCTTGACAAGCTCAGTGCTAAGTATCCATCACCAAAGTCATTCAATCGACCTCCAGCCACTCCGCTTCCACTTGACGAACTGCTTCCTTCTGACGAACCAAAGAGCGATTCCAACAAACTCAGATACGCACAACTAGTTGGATCAATTGGCTATGTTGCCACTGCTACTCGACCTGATGTTTCTAAAGCTCACTCAAAATTGGCAGAATTTCTAGTCAATCCAGGTCAGCTTCACATTAACGCTGCTTACCAGACGCTTGCCTATCTATACGCAACAAAGGATCAAGCGCTCTACTACGATGCTTCCATATCCACCGACATCGCTCACATCGTCGATCACGATGAGCCAGACTTCTTTGGTGCAACCGACGCCTCATACGCAGACCACAAGGCCACACGGAAAAGCTCTCAAGGCTATATATTCTTCCTGTTTGGCGGCCCTATTGACTGGAAAGCGACACTTCAACGATGTGTTACCAAGTCTACCACTGAAGCTGAGCTTGTTGCTGCTT